CAAATCTATTATCTTATAGCTCTGGAGGTCTGAAGTCCAATATGGGTTTTACAATCTAAAAATCAAGATAATATTAGCAGGACTGGTCTGATCTGGAGGCTTTAGGGCAGAATCTGATCCTTGTCCTTTTTCCAGGTTCTAGAAGCTGCCTGCATTCCTTGGCGATCATTTCCTTCCTTCATCTTCAAAACACATCATCACTCCAACATCTGTATCTCTTGTCACATCTCCCCTCTAATACACTGCTATTTCCCTCTCATAAGGACTCTTGTGATTCTATCAGCCCCAACACAGGTAATCCAGGGTGATTTTCTCATTTAAAAATCTTTAACCCAATCCCATGTGCAAAAGCTCTTACGACACTTTGACACTTAAGATAACATATTCACAGGTTCTGGGGATTAAGAGGTGAGGAAGAGTATATTTTTCAGCTACTAAACTGAGACAAAAACAGAGTGTCAGAGTAAATTAACCTATAGTAAAATATAGTAGGCTGTGAATAGAAATCTCAGATTAAACAAGAACAATAGGGGAAAAGGGCACAGTAACTATGTAAAGATATTGACTAAAACAAAGCAGAATGAAATAAAGAAATTCTGAAATTGAACAGAGAAACAATACATGAGAATCCTTCATTCTATAGAATTTAAACAACTAGATTCAGTAAAACAAGAGCTCTAAGACAAGACAAGTCAATATCAAGAAATAAAAATGGAGAATTAAGAGCTGAGAAAAAGTAAGTTTCTAAACAAGGTCCAAACAGTATAAACAAATGAATGAAAACCAGAAAAACAAAAAAACAGAAAACAGCTTCAAACTGAGATATTGGTATATTTGATATAAATGTAAAAGGAAAAGATAAATACAATTAATTAGAAGACAGTAGATAAAAAAAGATCCATTGGTGTAACACAACAATAAAGTGATTAATAAATAAACCAGACAATTATTAAAGATGTGATGCAGTAAAACATTGTGAGAATAAAGGAAGAACCAAAATCACAAATGAAAGTGTACACATTTTTTAGAGGAAAAAAAAAAGGCAGAGGACAAGTTTCAGAAGTGCATAACCCCAAGTTACATTTAATCTTAAAGAATAAAACAAAGAAAATTCTTCAGGTATTTTAAGGGAAGAAGCAAGTCACTTTTAAATGATAAATATTAGGTTGGCTTTACCCTTCCACAAAGCAACACCTATTGCTTAAAAATAGTAGAGTACTGTCTGCAGCTGTTGAAATAAAGAAAGTGTGATACTGCTCTGTTACTTGCAGCCAAGTTGTTTTCAAGTGTAAATGCAACTAGCAGGCATCGTCAAATGTGTCAAAATTTTTTCAGGGAATATGTGTTATAAGAGCCATTCTTGAAAAAGTCTCAACTCTGTGATAGAGCCAAGTCAAAAATGAATGAAAATGCTGTGAAAAAATATAAACACAGCACTCCAGGCCAAAATACAGTGGAATATTGACAGCAAACATCTAAGGGTGGAGGTAGGAGAGGGGTGGGAATTGGCCGACCTAATTTATTATACTATGCTCCATGAATGAGGGTTGGATTTGAAGGCGTTCTAGCACTGGTCAAGGTCTACCACTCCAGACTTTGTCAGCCTGTTCTGTCTTACCATGTGCTCCAACACTATCTAAATTCTGGTGGTACCTCTGCATAATATTTCTCATGCCTGTGCTTTTGTTCAATCTGTTCTTTCTGTCTTGAAAATTCATACAACATTGGGTGCTTTGATTTTTTTTTTAATTTTGAAAAAACTTTCCTTTGTGGGGGTAACTTTTTACCGTACTTAGTACAGTGTAGGGTTGATTGATCAGCTTTACAATTTTCCAGGTCAGGAATTTCAAAGTATACATCATTATATCCTCAGTTTAGGATGGTAGTGAGT